CGTCTTCTGTGCTGGTTTGTCATCCGCACACGTATTTTGTACATCATCTGGCTGCCTTCAGCTAATGGCTTGCCATCAAACAGTTGAACTAATGGTTCCATGGATTGGAGAGGTAACAAGTTTTATCCAAAGAAAAGATGCAGGTGTGGCCTGGCCAAGCCATGAACATTTCTTCCATCGACTGACAAAATGTCTAGCGTTGCAACTGAGTTTGGATGAGTTTCTTGGGGTTGGGTTGAAAATAGGTCTACCTAATACCTGTGCCATTGGATCTTGGAATGGAAGACAAAGGTCACTGTCTGGTGAGCGCACAGAGAGAAACCTATTTCCTGCATGGAGTCTTATGAACCTGGCTTTTCTCAGCTCTTCAGTGAGATGGAGTAAGGCCTTCAGCCACCACTGACTGGATGAAAGGGATGTGCTGGTGCCTTGAGTAGAGCAGGGAGTTTTATGGTGATGTGGTGAAAGTGGTGGAAGTGAGGCTTTGGACGTCTCTGGGCTACCCTCCTCCCTCTACAATCCCTGCTTTATGTGGGTGTGAAGTCATCTTCACACCCCAAACCCGCCTGCCACTCCCACTCCCAGACTCTAGCAAGCCTTTTGATTTAGGGGCCTATTTGTACTCCCAAAGAGAAAGCCTGTCATTCCAGGCCCCAAGGAGTCAATGGCTAGGAAGTAGAACAGATTCTGCTATTGACGCAAGTCAATGACCTTCATTACAAATGACTTTGGGAACTTAAAAAAAAAAAAAAAAACCCAACTGTCAGAAGGACAAGATGGAGGAGAGACAGCATCAGCAAAGCAGTACCAGGTAGCAGGACAAATGCTATCCTGTGTTGCATGGTCAATGGGCCTCAGGTTATCTTGGACAAGGCTTGCTGGTGGATGAGCAGGTTGAGAAGCATGTGTGAGGAACTCCTCTTCCAAAAGCCATGTGGCATTTCTAGACTTTACCAAGTGAGAAATAACTGAGGTTGTGAGATGAGACCATTGTTTAGCACTCCCCATGGGCTTTGCTTCTCCATCCCCATATGACCATTTCCTGAGCCTTCCTATAAGTCGATGATAATGTGTAATGTAGGGAGACACTGTAACCACGCCTCCTAAGGGCTGGCCACAGATGTGCCTGACCATGCCTGTCAGGGTGTGGTCAAGGTGAGGTCAGAATGACTCGTAATAGGTTTTTAAGGGGCTACAAGGCACATGGGGACCCCTTTTCAATGGCCTGGCTGCCTTGCTGCCCCTGGCATGCTCTGGCTTGTGTTCGGCTGGTGTTTATCTGAATAAAGATATCTTAACCTTACGGACTACGGATTGGCTCTCGATACAGTGCAATGTTTCAAAAACATCTGCACCATGCTCTGTAGGGAAAACCCAGAAGACCTAGCAACATCAGTGCCACCAAGGGTGAGACAAGAACAAAGCCTCAGGGCTGGGCAGTGGTGGCACAGAGGTAGGCAGAGCTCTGAGTTCTGATCTGCAGAATGAGTTCCAGGACAGCCAATGCTAAACAGAGAAAAACCTGTTTTGAGAAAACAAAAGAAAAGGACAAAGCTTCAGAACGGCAGCAGAGGACCAGGAAGAGGCCTGGATAGCCTGGAGACAGGGAGGTGGAGCATGGTATTTGGCTGCTGATGGTGAGCAGAATGCACCAAAAGCCCTGTACTCAGAATGGGGACAATGTCACCACACACAGAGTAGTGAAACTAGAACTGTAGAGGCCAAAGGTTGTCCTGCTCTGGCACCTCAACTCTATTCAAAGTCATGCTTAGAATTAAACAAATTGAGGCCATGTTCTGGCAGGTGCTGAGTAGAAAGTAATAGGGGCAATAACAGTTTTCACTGTGTTAGAAGGAACCCCAAATCAAGGCTTCCTCCCACTTAACTTTCATAAAACTCCTTCCTGACAGCTAAGTTGTTAAGTTCCCAGCAGGTGATTAAATATTAGCACCAAGAAATGAATTCAACTTTGGCAGTGGTGGTGCATGCATTTAATCCCAGCACTCAAGAGGTAAAGGCAGGCAAATCTGTGTGAGTTCTAGGCCAGCCTGGTCTATAGAATGAGTTCCAGGACAGCTAGGACTACACAGAGAAACCCTGTCTCAAAAAATGCATGATAGAGAGAGAGAGAGAGAGAGAGAGAGAGAGAGAGAGAGAGAGAGAGAGAGAGAGAGAGAGAGAGAGAGAGAGAGAGAGAGAGAGAGAGAGAGAGACTAGTTCAAAGGTGGGCATGGTGACACACTCATTTAATCTCAGCACTGGAAAGTCAGAGGCAGGTGCCTCTCCGTGAGTTTCAGGCAAGTCTGGTCTACAGAACAAGAACAAGTTCAAGGACAGCCAGGGCTATTACACAAAGAAACCCTATCTTGAAAAACCAAACAAACAAAAGAAAAAGGAAGAGAGAGAGAGAGAGAGAGAGAGAGAGAGAGAAAGAGAGAGTGTGTGTTTGGGGGTTTCGGGTTGGGAAGATGGTTCAGTCAATCAAGTGTTTACCATAAAAGCATGAGGATGTCAATTTGATCCTCAGCATCACATAAAAAGCCTTGTAATCCCAATGGTGGGGGTATAGAGACAAGTGCATCCCTGGAAGTCGCTAGCCAGCCAGCCAAGCCTTCTTGGTAACCCCAGGTCCCAATGAGAGGACCTGCCTCAAAACATAAAGCTCAGGAGCTCCTAAGGAATATCACTTGACGTTAACCCCTGTTCTCTATATGCTTGTATACATGTATGTGCAAACCTATACACAGAGAGACATGAATACACAACACACACGCACACACGCGCGCGCACACACACACACACACACACACACATCAAACACACACACACACACACACACACACACACACACACACACACACCTGTGCATGCACACAAACAAAAATGAATGAGTTCAGTTGTTAGAACTCTAGAGATTGAGGCAGGATGATTCAGAGTTCCAAGCTAACCTGAGCTACAGTGGTGAGTTTGAGACCAACCTAGGCTACTTAGAAACACTCCAATTCAAGAAAAAAAAATGAAGGAAGGAAGGAATGAAGGAAGGGAGGGAGGGAAGAAGAGAGGGAGGCAGGCAAGCAGGCAGGCAGGCCGGATGGCTGGCTAGTCAGGTGACAGTGAAGTCACAAGGATGTTTGAAAGGAACGTCCTGAAAGTGTCTCAAGGACTAAGTCTGACACAAGCTACAATGATGTGACTTCCCTCTCCCTGCCCTCTGGAAACCCATACCCAAGTCAAGTTAATCCTATGCTGACCTACACTTCCTATTTCACCCTGGCAGCCAGAACACAGGCTATTTCTGAATGTTTGGATCACAAACCATGTATGGTCTCTGGGATACAGACCAGATGCCTTGTATGTAGGACAAGCAGGCAGGACATTTAAGTATCCATTATAGAACTTTCCAGAGAAGTTGGATGAAAATCTATCATCACTGCTCTCAAGATATTTTTTTTTCAATTGGTTTCCATGGAGAAGTTGGGTTCATGCCTCATCCCTCCTGTTTGTTTTGTATCTTTATTGAGGTGAGCAGCAGCACATGCTCCTGGTGGGCAGTCAAACATTTAGATGTTCAACGTACTCTGTGTGCTGCCCACATGCTAGGTTTGCTATGGCTCCTGACATACTATTTTACAGTCTGAGACTCAAAGAGGAAGCAAGAATGGAGATCTGTGAAATGGGCAGGGCCATAATTCTGGAACCAGCAAGCAGAAGGACTTCGGTTCCTCCTTGAAATTTGGATGATTGTGAGGTAGCATGGAGGGACACTAGTGGAAGGGCCTGAGGCCCTTCTTGGACTCTTGAGTGCATGGATCTGATTTTAACACTAATGGGTAGTGTACCACCGATTTCGGCTTAGAAGGCTGTAATAGGGGAGTCATGCTTGTGAGACTACACAGTTTGTTAAGGAGACCATCAATGAGATGATAGCCGGGTCCTCAGATGCATTTAGTTCTGAATTTTAGGAAGTACCCCACAGGGGGTGCTAGATGCTCACTTGGACTATGCATGAGGAATTCAGGGGTGATGGAGGAATCCTGTGTAAGAGGACATTATGCAACCTCTTAGACTTCATGGGTGGATTAGATCAGAGCCAGTAGCTATCATTGCCATTTCATTTGATTTATTCACAATTATCAATTAGCAACATTAGAAAGAAAATTGCTTTAGAGAAATTTAAGTGCTTCCAGGGGTCAGAGACACCCAAGCTCCCAGAATCCTTGAGTGTCGGAGGATTTACTGGTGATGAACCACAGATGCCCTGGAAAACACCACCAAACCCATGAGGGAAGGCCTACTTCCAAAGCAGGAGGTAGTTTCATCTAGCCTGGGAGACCGGAGGAGAGAGAACGACATGGCAAGGGACAGCCTCAAGAGGACTTGGGCAAGAGCTGCAGAGAAAGCAAGAAGAGGGCATGCAGAGGTCAATAGAGTGACACAGGTGGCCAGCTGAGGGGACGGACATCCCTCGGTGGCTTGAGATGACTGATGATGGAGAAGGCCGAGTGGAAGAAGGCACAGAAAGGGGCATTTGGGACTTTGAGCGAGCCACCGAGCACTTTCACAGGAAAGAACGATTGAGGGAGGAGCTTGAGCTAGGGCAGTTGTCAGTGGGCCTCCACAAACCCAAGATCACCTCTTTGTGACACCAGTGCCGACAATGCATCCACACGCAGCAAGGACTCTTAAGGTAGAGAGTGAGTGGGCCCACTCATCACGGATGCTGCCCCATTTCCCAACTCCAGGCCAGGCAGGAGGGCCTCTCCACTCTGCTACTCCTGAGCATCAAGACTCTCGAATTGAAACAGGGTTGTTGAAAGTGACTTCAGGCACCCACAGGTGTCTGAAGCAGCTGGGACTCTGGTCCAGCGCCTGATTTCATCTTTCTCTCCTTCTCCTCTAGATTGTGTGTGTATGGGGGGCCTCTTCTCAGCCAGGAGTCCTGCTGTGTCCACATTAGATAGCCGAGGTTTTAACTGTGTGGGTTTGTGTCTTTTTGGCAGGTGTCTCCTCTGTGACTTCCCTGATGTCCCTGGCTTGGGTGCTAGCCTCCTATCACAAGCTGCTGCGGGACTCCAGGGACGACAAGAAGAGCATGAGTTACAGAGGGGCCCTCATCCACCTCTTCTGGCGCCTCTTCACCATCTCATCCCGAGTTATCTCTTTCGCCCTCTTTGCTTCCATCTTCCAGCTGTATTTCGGGATCTTCGTGGTGGTGCACTGGTGCGCCATGGCCTTCTGGATCATCCATGGAGGGACAGACTTCTGCATGTCCAAGTGGGAGGAGATCCTCTTCAACATGGTGGTAGGGATCGTGTACATTTTCTGCTGGTTTAACGTCAAGGAAGGGCGGACTCGATACCGAATGTTCGCATACTATACAATAGTCTTGACCGAGAATGCTGCCTTGACGTTCCTTTGGTATTTTTACAGAAACCCGGAGAACACTGACTCCTATGCCGTGCCAGCACTGTGTTGTGTCTTCGTTAGCTTTGTGGCTGGGATTGCGCTCATGCTCTTATACTATGGCGTGTTGCATCCCATGGGGCCGCGGGCTAAGGTCTTTGCCAGCTCCTGTTGTGCCGAGCTGCTCTGGGGCATCCCTTTGCCCCCTGATGTTGAGCCTATGGCACCTCAGACCCCTGGGTACCGGGGGACCCAGGTCACTCCCACCAGAGCCGTGACGGAACAGCAGGAAGACCTCACGGCTGACACTTGCCTGCCCGTATTCCAAGTGAGACCCATGGGGCCCTCCACCCCATCAGGGCGTCCTTACCACCCAGAAGGGCCCCTGATTAAGATTGACATGCCAAGAAAGCGGTACCCGGCCTGGGATGCGCACTTTGTAGACAGGAGGCTGCGGAGGACTATTAACATCCTGCAGTATGTCACTCCCACTGCAGTGGGCATTCGCTACCGAGATGGGCCTCTGCTCTATGAGCTGCTGCAGTATGAGTCTTCACTCTAGAACACCTTGACCCAGATTGAGAAGGGGACCTTAAGTTTGGTTGCGGTCAATGCCGCCTGCAAGAAATATAGTCCTCCCTTCCCCCAATACACAGAACAACCACCACCACCGCCACCACCGCCACCAACACCACCACCAACACCACAAAAAGATCAATAAGTCACATCCCCTTCAGATAAGCTTTCTTTCCAGTCACTATATGTATACAAAGATATTCTCTATGTTTTGTAAGTAAAAACAAAAAGGAAACCTTTCTTTTGTTTTTTACACATAAGAAACAGTATTGAAAAAAATAATCCCACACTACAGTTCCTAGGGTGGAGAAGGAGAAGCTATCTCCTCTCCAAAAGAAACAAACAAAAAAGTTTTCTACTTTACACCAAGTGTAGATCATTTATGGGATTGGTGCTGATTGAGAGAACAAAACAAAAACAAAACAAAACAAAACAAACAAAAACCTTCAACTGCCTTATGCCCTTAGGTGCTGAGTTTCTTTAGGTACTGTCATCTTTTCTCACACGAAACTCTCTGGTAACTTTTGTACCAAGAGAGAAAAAAAATTAAATAATCAAATGAAACAAAAATCTGCCAATAGAGCAAACAAATTAAAACAACAAACAGATATCATACCAAAACAATCCTTCCTATCTGATGATTTGTATTGAAAAACAAACAAACAAACATCAAATTGACCAAAAGCAAAGGCATAGAAACCCCTCTTTTTTCAAATTCTCTCGCCCCCTCCCCATTTTTCAAAGCCTTCTAGAAGCTAAAGGGCTACTTGGATCTCCACTGGCCGGAAAAGCTACTCGAAGGCTGACTATGTGCCATTTTAACATTTGCCTAGCAAGAATTACATTGTTTTCCCGTGGAAAAAAAATTAATAAAAAAAAAAAAGACAAAACAAGAATGAAACCCCCAAACACCCAATTTGGTAAATTCTAAAAGCAGATCAAAGGAAGTGTCCATAAACACCATCAAAGAGAATCAGTAATGATAAAACTCAGCATGGTAGCAAAAAGGACGACATTTAAAGGCACAATACTTAGTCCGTGACTGGCGACAGTGATCTCTTCCGTCATTTTAAGGCTGAGAAGGGTTGTGTGTGTGTGTGTGTGTGTGTGTGTGTGTGTGTGTGTGATGTGTGACAGTGCGGAAGGCCTCTTCTCTTTTCATTTAGTGGGAAGCCTTAAATTGATCTGGAAAGAATTTTTCATTTTTCATTTGTGCTTTTGAAAAAAATAACATAAAGAGGAACACTAGAGTATTTATCTATAAAAAAGTCAAATCGTATTAACTGACACATTTCACAGACTGGTGCTTCTGTCAGTGTGGTTGGCTGAGAGTCATTCAGCCTGGTGCATTTGGGGTGAGTGGACTCTGTGTGTGTGTGTGTGTGTGTGCATGTGTGTGTGTGTGCGCGTGTGCATGTGTGTACACCTGCTGCAAGGTCTTGCCAGAAATACACAAAAATTGAAGTGAGGCAGATACCATGGTAACTGGGAGAAGGGATTGTGAGGGGCTGGATGGAAAGGTAGCGAAAGTGGCCCCTGTATGGGCCATCCACCTGGAGAGCAGGGCCCCACCCCAGCAGCAGAGGCTGTCCTTCCAGGCCCTGCGGCTTTGGTGAGGATTTGAGTTAACTGTTTATTTTCTCGCTATACCAAGGTGAATTTCTGGAGGTGTCACAAGTATGTCTGACCATTTGTAAAAATTTTAATTTGTTTTTGGAAGGTACTGTTCCTTTAAAGAGTATTTCTGTTTTAGGGTATTATTTCGATACCATTCTATCTCTACTTGGGCACACACACAAAAAAATATGAAAAAAAAGAAAAAAATAATCATAAAAAGAAAAGATATCTCTGCAAAAGATATATATGTGTAAATATATATATATCTATATATACATACACAGTATTTTTAAGTACATGCTGTTAGTCTTTGTTGTCTGTGGTTGTGATAGTTTTTTAATTCTGGATGTAACTGTTCAGGGTGCAAGACCTCACACTGAGCTATACTTAAGAGAAGTTCAAAAACTGAGGAATTTTTTTTTTATGTTTGATGAATTTTTTAATTTTTATTTTAAATAACTATTCAAAAAAGCCCCTCCTGGTCACCCCTTCATGGTTTATCTGAATCTTTTTTTTCCCCTTAAACCTTAAAACATATATTAATTGTGAAACTAAATGCTCCCTCCTTTGTCCCACCTCCTTATCTCATGTGTTACCACAACTTTGCAGGACTTTCCTAAGATGGGGTCTCAGGGGGTCCTACCTGGTCTCTGCTCTGGGAAGCAGGATACAACAGAGCACACTTGGGCTGAGGTGAAGGCCATCTGGGCTGCCTCTGCCTGGCAGGGAGCAAGCCAGGCAGAGAGGGGCTGCTTGGAGCTGTGTGTGTGAGTAGTGAACAAAGGGTACGCCCTACAAGACATGTTCACTCTATTCTGCGCCCACCACAGCTCTGTCACCAAGCTACAGTCCAGGCTCTGCTCAGACTGGGGAAGAAGAGTCCATTTGTGGGGTGACATGGCATTCCTTTGGCCAGCTCTGATCCCAAGTCTTGGGTGTCCCAGGTCTCCGGCTCTGTGTGGCCTCTGGACCTCTGCCACTCCACTTGTTTGTCTAGTCTTAGTCACATTTCCATTTCATCTCTTGCTCTTTGATCCCACCATTGGCTTTAGTCTGCCACCTCTGTGTGGACCACTCTATCTTTAGCACACGTGCACAAGCACACGTGTTCATGTTTACACAAAACTTAGAAAGTGTGGCTATTGGCTGGAGCATCCAAAGTTGGGGAAACAGTTTCCAGCATAGGGAAGCCTTAGCCATGCTCAGTGAAGGAGGAGGAAGTCATGACATCTCACCAGCCCTTGCTTTAGCCTTGGTGGGTTTCGGCTCCTTTCCTTCTTTAGTAGCATACCCATCCCCCTCTTCCACCATGCCTTACCTTTCCCCAATAACACAATTGAAAATGTACATCTGTGGACAGGAGCCTGGAAGACCAGAGAGACAAGAAAAGGCCTGAAAAGTGAGCCAAGAAGCAGAGAAAGGCGGCAGGGAGCAAAGATTGAGAGATCTGTTTCCCCTGGCAGCATTGCCCTCATCATCTTATAGAGCCCCATCTCCAGTCTCTTTTGTTATTAGGCATTACTTCCCACGAAGTCTTCTAGTGTCCTTCCCCTTCAGAGGCTATTGGTGGCTGGCTGACTTCCCAAGTGTCACTAATAGACTTTATACATTCTCAGTGTCTTCCTCCCAGATAACCTCAGAATCCCACAGCAGGACCACTGAACCAAGGCATAGTGTCCTCACCCCACTCTGGCAATCTGCTTTCATACTGACAGGTGTCTGGGTCCCCAACAACCTTTCCTTCTGTGAGTTAACAAATCCATCTAAGTTTTCCCCAGCTGCAACCTATAGTCTTGCGAAATAAATCTCTACACCTATCTCTTCCCCTGGACCTCTTGATGGCGAATACCCAACTCCTAATATTTAGCTTTGGTAGATAAGCCTTTTGGTACCTTGTTCTTTCTTTCCATATTGTCCCCCACCATAGACCATGCCTATAGACCCCCATATTTCATTCCTCTAAGCACACAGAACAGTTGGCTTTTTCTCTTGTTCTAAGAAATGTGGTCCTATCAGTGCACCAAGACTGATACTGTTAGAATTGTTTCTGCAAGCCTCCCCTCAACCCCAGAAGCTTGGGTGGCTCTGCCTTGGGATTCTTCAGGTCTCTCAAGGACATGAGATAGGGGAAGTTAAGCAGATCTAAACCCATCAAATCTGCTCCCATTGACTCCACTTGCCCCAGAATTTCTGATATCTCAAGCACAGTCTATCTATACGAAGTGTCTCCCTGCTCTTTAAGGTCAGACTTGTCCCATAATGGAACCAGGGATGTTAGGACAAATACACAAAGCCCAAGTAGATTGGGGGCTGGAAGACAGCAAGATCCATCTTTCCTAACTGTCCCACTCAAGGAAAGACACATCCCCCTGTGACCTGGAGGACCCTGTACCCTACTCCATAGACACAGAGTTTTTTGTTTTCCCTCTGTCCTCTTGACAGCAATTGGTCCCATGGTGGCTAAAAGAGGGTAGAACCTATCTGGTCCTAAGGACAACTGTTCTGGTCTTATGACCTTTCACGCTACAGGCTTCAGATCTGATACAAATCTAATTCTCAAAAAAAATATAATATTTTTAAAAGCACCAAATCATCACTTTCTCCATTCTTCCTCAGACCTGTTGTCACCCCCCCAGATGTTTGTCTCCTTCTGAGCAGCTCTGGGAAGGTCAGGTGCCCCTTCGTCACCTGCATCTGAGTTCCCTTTGCAGTTCCTCATCACCAAAAACTAATGCATGATTTCTTTTCCCCTTGTCTATTCTGTGCCTCATTAACTGGGTCTCTCATGAGCCCCAAGTTTTGATGATTCTGGACCTGAGAAAAATTTCTCTACCCATTACCTTGGAGCAGAGCAAGATAACTTCTGTGTGCACGTTTGGGCCCCTGGTGTAGGGAAGGAGTTCAGAGGAGAATATGGTTGGGCGTGTATCCAATACCCTGCAGCACTAAGTCTTGGGCCAAGTGGTTATGGGTAGTCATTTTGCATCTATTTGCACAGCAATTGGCAAATGCTAAAATAACCACACCAGATTTGGCTGGGGGCATGGTATACAAATTTGACATCGAAAGGGAAAGCATGGTCAGTGTAATTCCAGGGATCCAAGTGGCACTTGGAAAACTGCCAGGGAAAGCTGAGCATGCCCCAGTGAATCCTGGGAAAGACAATACATTGGAGAAGGAGAGGACTCTGAGGAGTCAACCTCCTCAAGTACCCAAGCAGCCTCCCAGGGAGCAGTTCTAGACACTGCATATCAAACACCAGCCGATTCCTGGGCTCTGATCTTCTCAAGACACAGCGTCACCTCCTGCAGGAAGGAAGCGAGGCTCAGCCTTGGTCCTTTCTTTCATCAAGGTCCAGGTGGACATGAGATGGGCAGTATGGGAGCCTCCTCCAGGTTCAAGTATGTCCTTACCCTATCTCCTGTCCTCAAACTGAGCTCTGTCCCAGTTTGGGCAGCCTTCCTTTCTCATCTACAGCCCAGCCTTTGGAATGTGGCATTGGTAATGGTGATCCAACCTCAGGCTACAGCTTTATCAGCTCATAAGAGCATCCTAACTCAGCATGTGCCTGTCTCCACTTTGAAATGTATAACAATGTAAAAGGCAAGCCAATTTTCTTATAGCTTTTTCTCTAAGCCTTTCCTTGAGGGAAAGGAAGATATAATGACAAAGTTTGCCTCACCCTCCCCATCTCTGGCAGGTCTAAAGTTTTCTGTTTCTCCCTCCAAATGTTGCATCTGTTGCTATTGGCTGAATATCAGAAGATATTGACTTGACCTAGTCCCAGCTTTCTCCTCTGCCCAACTGGCTCTTTCTGCCTTTCTCAGCTCCCAGGCATCGTCTTCTTTCTCTTGGTACCTTTCTTCACAGTGACTGGCAGGACACAGCAGGAGTGTTCTGGAGCCAAAGGTCATGAGTGCTATTAATGATGGCTCCATAGCAGCAGACAGACTGCCTCTGCAGGCGATCCTCCTTCTCCAGGCCAGCACCTGTGTCAAGGGCTAAGAATAGACCACAGGGACAGGAGTAAGCAGGACCTAGGGACAGCTGCCCTGGGATGCCCATTTCATGAAGAAGATACTGTCCTGGCTGGTCCCCAGCAGGAGTCCCTACTCCCCTCCTCAAACGGAAGTCAGTTAGGAGTCGAAGTTCCAGGCTTCAGGGAGGACAGCTTCCAGATCATCACCCTTAAGCCAAGGGAGAAAATATATTTATGACTTTGCTCTTGGTACAGCGCTGGCTGGTAACTGGAAGAGCACCTGTCTCTAATTAACCTTTGGCCATCTGTCACTGCGGATAGCGACCAGCAGCCAGCCATCTGACTCTGGTCCATCCTCAATGTAGCCCTGGGGCCCTCAGGCTCGGAGCCTCATTTTTTAGCTTCACATGTCCTAGGTGCTTGGCCTAAAGCTAGAAAGACCAAGAATGGCCACAGGCTGACTCAGGGCTCCCCTGTGACCACGGATAACGCACTTCACATCTTGGTGCTTTGGTTTCTCCATCAGTAAAGTGGATGGAGAACAAGCCACTCTACTTTTCCCTCTGCTCAGAGATGACCTGATGATTCAGTCAATGCTGCTGGTAGTGAAGGCGTCTCATGGGGAAAAGGGTGACCCCATTCTTTGGTAAAGAGAAATATGGAAAAAGAGGAGGTTTCAGATACGCTTGGCACCCAGAAGCCCAGGAGGTAAGCAAGAAAGACATGGGGACAGGGAGAGAGCCCCGGAGCAGGCAGATACATCACAGCACTGTTAACTCAGTACAGTAGCATCTGGTGGGGGACATTTGGTTACCTGGCTCTTGCTGGGCATTTGTCAATTCTTAAGTCCCATGATGTTTGTTTTTCCTGAAAGACCAAGAAAAATACAAGGTAGTCTGTTTCTGGAAATTGATACTCACTGAATGTTTGACAGACAGGAGGTGGAATGAGCAGAGAGGGCCTGGAGATGGTGTGGGAGGTGGCCAAATGCTCTTTGAGAAGTATCTCTTGCCTTTATTCAAAGCCTTGAGGTTTCCCTTCTCAAATGGACTCATTTCCCTGGTCCCCTGCAGAGGATGGAAAGCCCAACCCTGCTTTTCCAACACCTATCTCATCAGCTACAAATGCTTGTGCACATGGTAGGTCTTCACCACTCCCTGGTGTGCTTTTCTTGGAGCCTGCAGGCAAAACTTCAGAGATACCTGGGGCTGGAGAGCAGCATGCAGTTGCAGTTTTTTTTTCTTTTTTAATCTTTTTCTAAATTGGGATATTTTCCCCCTCACAATTTGAATTGAAAATTTTAAGTTCAATGTCTTTTCCTGCCCCCACCTATGTTTTTTTCCTATGGTTTGACTGTTATCATTTCAAATACCAAGATACACTTGGAACAAGAAGACAGAGGCATCCTAAGAACCTCACTGTTCTTAGGACCTAACCCAGAGTGAGAGCAGGTGGGAGCCATGGAGGACATTAGCACTCAGGGGTGCTGCCCCAATACCAATTCTAAACTGGTTCCAAGAACAGTCTTGCAAAAGAAAACTATACAAGTTCCAGTTCCCATGGATCAGTCCACCTGGTCCTGGCTAGGTCTATTCTGGTATAGAAATTCTCACTGAAAAAAAATTACAAAAAGACAGAAAGGTCACTTTCTGAGACCGCCCCCAGAGGAACAGAGTGCTCTCAAGGGCAGGTCTTGGGTACTGCTGCCAAATTTTTCTGCCCTTGACCAAGGAGCCCTAGTCTGACTCCATTCCCACCTGTTCTGAGTCTGGTCTGCAAGGTTAATGCTATTTGATGCAAAAGATCAACAGGCCACACTCCGAAAGTCAGAAATAGTTCCTTTGAATTTGTCTGATTATGTGTAGCAAGGCCAACCCCACTGGCCTATTTGTTCCCACAAGGTATTTCAGATGGCGGCCAAAAGGAAGGAATACAGAGACACCCTGCTGCGTCTATGTGCTCATCCATGCACATACTGACTGATGAAAGGATCCTGAAGCATTTATGAACAGGAGCTCGAAGATGGATGCTTGGAGACCGGGAGAGCCTCAGTGGATGGTAGGCAAGAGATAAGGAAGAGGCAGGACTCTAGGAGTATACTGAAGGAAATGGTGTCCAGCTGGTCAGTGCTTCCAATTCCCTGGGGCAGAAACAACAAAGTGTATTTTTTTCAAACACAGTAAATTGATTTTACAGAGTGATGTCTTTAAGCATTTTCCTTGTTTTAACAAAAGGGTCAGAGAAAGCATTTAAATAAGAGTATGGTGCTTTCTCATGTGCAGATTGTGTTATTGGTGATGAAAATTGCAAGACTCTGACCTTTTGCAAATGTACCCAAGTCAAGTCACTCTGGGGCCAATTTCTCTGTCTGTGCCACGAGAATATTGCTTACCTACCTCACAGGGGTGTTGTGAGGATAAAGCAGTTTAAGGTTTGGCAAAGCACTTTGAGGACAACAGTGTTGTGGGTACCAAGTTTGCTTTCTATGTAATGCCATTTTCAGCATGAACGAAGCACTGACTGAGTACAAGGTGCCCTGCTATCTGCAGGAAAAAAAGAATCACTGGCTAATTCCTTATTCACTTTCATTTATGTATATTTTAAATCGATAACAGAGAATAGAATTATGGAGTTGTCTCAATGTGGGGCTATATTATCATTCTGCTCCCAAAAAGGCCACTCTCCTTTCAGAGGATTTGAAAAGTGGGGCTTTCTGTCCTCTGGCTTCTGTCAGATAATTGTGTTCCTGAGATGCTTCCTCCCTTTGTGAGAAGAGGAAGGCAGGTATGATTTTTGCACACCCATGACCAGCACTTATTGCTTTGGTTCTGTTACTTCAGTTATTCCTTCTGAGCTCAGTGTGGCAGCCGCCCTCCTCTCTCTTTAGATACAGAGAGTGAGTCCCCATGGCCATCCTGGAATAGCTTGGTACTTTTTGTTCGTTTCCTTGGAAAGTCTGGTACTCTGTTTGCTGGAAAGTCTTGGCTTCCAACGATGAGGATCTTTGCCAGAAAACAAAGTGTGCAACTGTCTTGTTTGCTTTTGTATTTTGGTGGTGGTGGGGAAGGAGATTTTCAAATCTCGCATAAAAGGCCTCCCATAAAACAAAGCCTATTTAAATTTATCATTTGCTTTTCCATGTGCATCGAGCTCTTCCCTTCCCAACACACACTCAAGGCCAATGTGTTTTCTAACAAATAGCACATCTCAAGCTGTTCAGGGAGTGCTGTATCACAGGTTCACTCATTTCTGCAGAGAACCAACTTCTTCCTGAGCTGAGCAAGTAGAAATTCCAGCCCCAAATCCAGGATTCCTGGAAATATTCCCTGGCTTATTAGCTTTGGGACTCCAGTGTCTGTAGGGCTATGTGCCTGAGTCCCCAGAAACTCTCCTGCCACCAGAGAGCCTCCTTAGAACCTGGTGGAGCATCCTTTTTGTCTTAGAACCAGAATGAAATCATCCATTGTTTTTGAAATTGTCCTATGATGCCAGTCTTTGAAGAGTGGGAAGAATTAGTTTTTCTTAGAGAAGGGAGAAGTGACAAAGACAAAGGGAAGTTTGTTTTTTTTGGTATTTTTGTCTTGGATGTGGACTGGAGAGGTCTAGAGTGAGCACCTGGGCACCTGAGGGTACTAGATGACAGTCCTTGTGCTTACAATCCAGAGCCCTTGGCAGAGGTGGCTTCAGTTTGAGCCTTCTGAACTTCCACCTGCTTCACTGTCCTTTCTCAGTGTGGACAAGCACTTCTTATCCTATGTTGTTGACTCCAAAGACCATTCCTTGTGCTGCCAGTCCTTATGGATGCCTTCTTCTAGCCATCTCTCCTCCTTCCCCTCACCCCTGTTGTCCTTTATAACCCCAGAATCACATGGGACTTATTACATCCAAGGGTAGTCCATCTCAGGCCCTGGAAAAATTGGTAGGACTTCTGTTGCCAACCCCAACTGTGAGTAATATTTCCATTATCTTTCCCCATCCATGGAGTGTTTTCTGGAAAAGCAAACTTCTAAGGAAACAACTTTCCTATTAGTATTATATAAAAAAGCTGCTCCTTGAGGTGTGAGGAAAGAGGTTTGGAGGTGGGTCATGACAGATGAGAGTTCAGCCCTGGAGAGGCAGCCAGAACCACTCTTGCCTTTCGGCCTGTGCTTCTGCTAAGAAAATGATGGTCTTGTTATAAAAAATAATATATCAAGAAAAAAGAAGGAAAGGAGGGAGGGTGGGAGGGAAGAACAGGAAATGACCCCGCTGAGATCTCCCTATCATCTTTTGGTGTCATCAGTGTTGTTGGGTTTTTTGTTTTGTTTTGTTTTTATTGTTGTTCAAAGTGAATACATATACTATCCCTACCCCCAGGTTACAGGATTTTTCTGGCTTGGTGTCCTCCTGGTACAGGGTTTCTGCCTCACTAAACCCACTCCATTATGCTCTGGCTTTTCTTGAGCCTTCTGAACTCAATCCCTCCATCAGAAGACTAGAATCTAGTTTCCTCAGAATGGTGGCGAACCCAATAATGTTCCAGGCACTGCTGGCTGACTCTTTATGGAACAAAAGAAGTTGAACTTTTCATGTAGTTTGGAGCCTTGAGTGTACAGCATTTTGTAATTTTCATGAAGGGCTAAGCTCAATGTGTCCTGCCACACTGACCTCATGTTCACTCTGGGAACTGGTGATCTGAGAAATGGGTTATAGTCATGGTCTTAGGTTTCAATGAAGCAAAGTTATAATTAATCTTGAGAGTCCAGGGGTTTACCCCATGGATCAATGAGCAGGTATCTTCTGTCCACGAAGATGAGGACCTACAACTTGGTGGTTCCAAGCTGCTACTGGTGTCTTGGCCCATCCCTTCCTGATTATGCAAGCCCAAAGGCTTCCCCCAGGAACAGACACCCCATATGCCCACAGGGACTCTTTCCTCTCCCCTGTTCTTCCCTGTCTTTGATGGTTATGGTCAGTTCTTCCCCCAAGAGAGGAGCTGAGTGAGTGGACTATAGCACCCAAGATCAGCACACACACCCCTTACCCTTGACTCTGCCGACATGAACAACAATCTCCAGTTAGGGAGCCAGTCAGCCAAGCTTTCCAAATACTCAGCTTCACAGCCACCTGCCGATAACCAAATCATGCACCACAGAGAGTGTAAATGAGCCACCTACCAATGATAGCCAAATCTTGCACCACAGTCAATGTGGATGAGCCAGTTTCTAGCCCCTATTTCTCTGAAACACATCTGTGAATTAGTAGCTTAGCCTAGGCGTCCGGAAGGGCTTGATCACACAGACTGTGCACTGAGGCTTCTCATGTGTACCCGAAGAGGGGGTGGGGAGAAGCATATCCAGGGGACATGGAATTAATATACCCCCCTTTGGGGGAAGACTAAAGAAGCCCTTATTTGTTGATGTTAGTGTATGCCAAAGTCCTGGCATGTGGTTGAATATCAAATGATAATCCAGGCCTAGAGGTTAGAAAGGAATTTCAACCTGTCACCATAGGCTAGCATACAGATCCCAGTGGGGAAACATTAAATGTGAGCTCTATGACCTTGAGCCAATTATTTAGCCTTCCTATTTATCAATTTCCTGGCTTCCAAAAAGACTTGTTTCAATTTTAAAATGCTCAAGATGCCTGATTTGGAAACTGAACATCCAATAGAGCAAGGTAGGACATGGAAAATATACAGATGCACGTGGGTAGACTCTGACCAATCCCACAGGAAGGAGCACATGACCTTGGAGATGAGGAACAACTTGGAGAAGGCAGCTTCCCAGCTGAGCCTTCTACTGGTTTCCATCACAGTACCACAGCCTACAGCCCCTCAGTGCCATGGATTCCACCTTCCACCAGGTATCATTTGGGATACAGTAATGATGACTAAGTTGGATTCCTCTTTCTTGCTGCCATCTTTAGTGGCCAGAAACAGCAGCAGCAGGGACAATGCAGATATGAGCTTTCAGAAACCCACTGCCATAATCAGGATTAACTGGGGCCATAAGGCAGAAGAAAGGCTGTGGGGGGGGGCAGTGTGCTTGAGGCCACTTTCCACCCAGAAAGAAGTTCCAGAAACCCTAGGAAGGAGAAAAAGGAGCAGAGATCATGTCCCTACCCCAATGACAGACAGACAGACTTCCAGACAGCCAAGGCTACAGTGAAGGAGGCGAAAGATATGAGAGGAGGCCCAGGTAAAGAGTGGGCAGGTGGCCTTTTTTGTCCCACGAGGCTATTGGAGGTTTCCCTTGCTGCTTATAGCCAAGCTAGATGTGGATACATAACTGGTAATATAGAAAGTGGTAGCAACCATTTACTTACCACCTACAAAAATGGAAGTGCCACTTGAGATACAGATAAGGATTGGGATTTGGAAACCATGAAGGCTAAACCTGCATCTTGAGGAAAATTAAGAACCCCATTTATATCAGTAAACTACAGATGTGGGTCACCATGCCACACTCCCACTGCCACCAGCCAGCTGAGAGGTCCCTGTGCAGACAGCCATCCTAATTTTGGTCCCTGGTCTCTGTAGTTTATCACCTTGGGCTTAGACAGTGGAGAAAAAGACTTGGAGCCTACAGGACCCATCAGCATGGCCAGTGGACTCTTCTGTTCCAGCCTAGCCTTAGAGCCAGGCAAAGACAGCCATTAGTAAGGGCTCTGCACTCTGTCCCCACGCCCACTTCCCTGACACAATCTAAATACCCATGCCAACCAGGAGTGTGGCTTTCAACTGGAGTCAGAAACAGAAAAGATTTCAAGAGCCAGCATGTATGTTGAAGTAAATTAAAAGGCCACTGTGTCTGGTCAACAACACCTTCCTAGTTTTCCAGTGGCCTGTGGAATTCTTAAGAGTTTCAGTGACTTCCATTTTCTTAACCAGACACTCAGAATGGAGTAATGTGGATTCTTAGTCAATATGCCTGGTCCTTAGTTGTGTGGACACACGTGGACATCTATCTATCTTCAATAATCTCCATTTGGTGCTATTTGTGACTCACTGGATGTGGATGTAATAGGTCCCTTCTTCCATACTCCTCCTCTCTTCCTTCCCTTTCCTCCCTTCCCTTCCTTCCTTTCTTTTTCTTTCTTAATTCACTAAAACAAAGTCATCACAACACAAAGATTCCCATGCCCTGTTTTTAGTAGGGCTTGTCTTCCAGTGTCTGAGACCCTCCCATTTTTTATTTCAGGGTCGGAAATGTTTTTTCCT